GCACATGTGCATGTGTCTCTCGAAGCCCACTGCCTTCTTGGCACTGACAGAGCCACCCCAGGCTTCCTGTTCTCCTTTGCACCCAGGGGGCCCTACACGTGGGCCCTGCCTTGCTGTGAGGGTCCTGTGTCCCCATCTCTGGAAAGCATTACCTGGAGGCCACAGCGCCTCCTGTCCTGATATCAGCGTTCCTACCACTAACAGCTCCCACCACTAACCAGCTCCCACCGCTAATGCACTCCTACTGATAACAGCTCCACCGCTAACAGCTCCCACTGCTAACCGGCTTCCATTGCTAACCAGCTCCCACTGCTAACCAGCTCCCACTGCTAACGTGCTCCCACTGCTAACCAGCTCCCACCGCTAACAGTTCTCACTGTTAACTCGCTCCCACTGCTAACCAGCTCCCACTGCTAACCAGCTTCCACCACTAACCAGCTCCCACTGCTAACAGTTCTCACCGTTAACTCGCTCCCACTGCTAACAGCTCCCACTGCTAACCAGCTTCCACCGCTAACCAGCTCCCACGGCTAACAGTTCTCACCGTTAACTCGCTCCCACTGCTAACCAGCTTCCACCGCTAATCAGCTCCCACCACTAACCAGCTCCTACCACTAGCAGCTCCATCACTAAGGAGGAGGAGGGGAGCGGATGGCGCTGGGGGAGGAGGGGGAGGGGAGCTGATGGTGCTGGGGGAGATGGGGCAGGGGAGCTGGGGGAGGGGGAGTAGGGGAGATGATGGCGCTGGGGGAGATGGGGCAGGGGAGATGATGGCGCTGGGGGAGGAGGAGTAGGGGAGCTGATGGCGCTGGGGGAGATGGGACAGGGGAGCTGATGGCCCTGGGGGAGATGGGGCAGGGGAGCTGATGGCCCTGGGGGAGATGGGACAGGGGAGCTGATGGCCCTGGGGGAGATGGGACAGGGGAGCTGATGGCGCTGGGGGAGATGGGACAGGGGAGCTGATGGCCCTGAGGGAGATGGGACAGGGGAGCTGATGGCCCTGGGGGAGATGGGGCAGGGGAGCTGATGGCACTGGGGGAGGAGGGGCAGGGGAGCTGATGGCCGTCTGCCCCATTGACCGTTTGGAAACAGGGTCTTTGACAATAAAATTCGGTCTGAGATCTCGAGATCACACTCGGTTTGGGATGGGTCCTGAGTGCCATGACTGGTGGCCTTTGAAGAAGGTCTGACACAGAGATGTGAGCTCATTGGCAGGGTCTTGGAATCCGAGGGGCAGTCGATCCAAACGCTGATCCCTGGTGACTGATCAACGTGGGACCTTCTCCCGGTTAATCCCCGTCCCTTCTCGTTGCTTATTATGCCCTTCATTTAACAGAAACCCACTCATTCATTCATTTATTTACTCACTAGAGGCCCGATGCACAAAATTTGTGCAAGCGTAGGCCTTCCTTCCCCCAGCTGCGGCACCAGCTTCCCTCAGCTTCATCCAAAAGGATATCCAGTCTAATTAGCGTATTATTAGATTTTTATTATTATAGATTTATAAAATCTTTATTGTTGAAAGTATTACATATATTCCCTTTCCCCCACTGACCCCCTTCTAGCCCACCCTCACCCCTGCCCCTGCCCTCACCACTCTACTGTCTGTGCCCATGGGCCGTGCTTTGGCTGATCACCTCGCACCCACCATCCTCCCTCCCTGCCTTTCCTCCGAGATTCCACACTCTGCTCCCTGCTCCTGGTCCCTGCATCCATTCTCTTCATCAGTTTATTTTGTTCAATAGGTTCCACCTATGAGTGAGATCCTGGGATACTTGTCTTTCTCTGACTTGCTTATGTCACGTAGCTTGACACTCCCAGGTCCCTCCATGCTGTCCTAAAGGGTAAGAGATTCTTCTTCTTCTTCTTTTTTTTTTTACTGCAGCACAGTGTTCTGTGGTGCAGATGGACCACAGTTTTTTGTCCACTCGTCTGCGGATGGGCCCTGGAGCTTGTCCAGATCTCAGCTATTTAACAGACATTCTTGGTTCCCACAGCCGAGTCTGTCAGCACCTCCCCTCAAGCTTGTGCCTCTGGAGGCTGGAGAACTGGACTGCTGGCATCTGAGTACTGTGTGGTTCCCCCCACAACGTGGTGCGTAAGCCACAGGAGCTAGCTTCCACGCATCTGGAAGACCCAGTCAGCCGGGGTGTGAGCACGTGGACGGCGCTGCCAGAGGCTCTGGGGTCTGGGGCTGGACACCACTCCGGCTTCCACCTCTGTCTGGCCTCCTCCCTGTTGTCTCCGTGCCAAAACCTCCTGTTTATTTTCTGTTAATCCTCACCCAAGGATATTTTTTTTCCGTTGAATTTTAGCGAGAGTTGAAGGGAGGGGGAGAGAAAGAGAGAAACATTAGTGTGAGAGAGACACATTGAATGGCTGCCTCCCACACTCGCCCTGACCAGGACCAACGATTGAACCTGCAACCAAGGTACGTGCCCTTGACCAGAATCCAACCTGGGATCCTTCTCTCCATGGGCTGGCGCCCTATCTGCGGAGCCAAGCCAGCCAGGGCTGTCTTTGGAGGCCATGGTCATGGGACCAGGGTTCACCCCAAATTGAGTGTGACCTCAAGATCCTGCCTCGAATTTCAGCGGCAAAGATCCCATTCCAAAAGAGTCAGCCAGGCAGATGGCTGCCTGCCGGCATGGGCTCCCCTGCTCCCCTCCCTCCAGCATCACCCGGAGGTGAGGAGTCCTCCATTCACTGTCACCTGGCGAGAGCTGGGCATCCAGTCACGGCCTCCTTCCCGCATCCCACAATTTCCCACGTGTTCCCATGCTCCCCAAAACTCCCCACGCATTCCCATGCTCCCCCACAATTCCCCACGCGTTCCCACCGCCTGATAAGCCATAGGCGCTGCCCACCAAGCCCCGTTAGCCGGGCCGTGGGTCTGTGGTCTGCGCACAAGAACATGCTTTTTACTTTGAATCCTCACCGAAGGTGCGTTTTCATTGACTTCAGGGAGGGAGGGAGGGAAGGAAACATCGATGTGAGAGAGAAACATCAACGGTGCCTCTCACAGTCGCCCTGCCTGGGCTGACCCTGAAGCCGGGCTGTGCCCTGGGAACGGAACCAGCCCTCTCCCCGGGGTGGTGCCCGGCTGGCAGGGCCTCCTCCCGCCCCCGGTGTGCGTGTTCGTGCTGGGGGGGGGGGGGGTCTCCCAAAGCTTCGCATCCCTGCCTTGTTCTTAGACCTTGTCTCCAAGACAGACTCACTGAACCGGGCAGGTGGGGGCGCAGCCACCAGTCCTGCTGATGCTGTGACACCCCTCTCCCCTGCCCTGACTCCCTCCTCTCTGCCCTGTGCCCCATCGACACTGCCCAGGCCGGTCCTGCTCCTTTCCGGGGTCCACAGACCTCCGTGTGTGCGGGGCTGGCCTTACTGAGTCGCTGTGGGCTCCTGGGAGAGGGCCCCATGGGCTCCTGGGAGATGACCGCACGGCCTCCTGGGAGATGGCTGTATAGTATCCTGGGAGATGGCTGTATAGTCTCCTGGAAGACGGCCCCACAGACTCCTGGGAGATGGCCGTATAGTCTCCTGGGAGACGGCCCAACAGGCTCCTGGGAAAGGGTTCCATGGGCTCCTGGGAGGTGGCCGCACAGCCTCCTGGGAGATGGCTGTATAGTCTCCTGGGAGATGGCTGTATAGTCTCCTGGGAGATGGCTGTATAGTTTCCTGGGAGACGGCCCCACAGCCTCCTGGGAGATGGCTGTATAGTATCCTGGGAGATGGCTGTATAGTTTCCTGGGAGACGGCCCCACAGACTCCTGGGAGATGGCCATATAGTCTCTTGGGAGATGGCCGCATGGGCTCCTGGGAGAGGGCCGCTAGGGCTCCTGGGAGATGGCCATATAGTCTCCTGGGAGATGACCCAACGGGCTCCTGAGAGATGACCCAATGGGCTCCTGGGAGAGGGCCACACGGGCTCCTGGGAGAGGGCCGCACAGGCTCCTGGGAGACGACCGCTAGGGCTCCTGGGAGACAGCTGCATAGGCTCTTGGGAAATAGCCTTTAGAGCTCCTGAGCAGGAGGCCACGTAAGTGTGGGAGGCGTGGGCTGTGCTCTCCGGAATGCTCAGGGGACAGGCACCGCAGGACTTTAGGAGCTGCTGGGTGCATGGAGGGGGCCCTGGGGAAGGGGGGCACCAGAGAAGGGGGCACCGGAAAAGGGGGGCACCGGGGAAGGGGGGGCATCGGGGAAGGGGGAGCACCGGGGAAGGGGGGGCACTGGGGAAGGGGGCCTGAGGCGCCCCACTGGGTGGTGCCCAAATGTGTGTGTGTGTGTGTGTGTGTGTGTGTGTATGTGTGTGAGGTCCTGTGTGTGTTTGTGTGTACGTGAGATCCTGTGTGCGTGCATGTGAATGAGGATCTATGTGTGTGCTGACCTGTGTGTGCATGTGTTCATGTGTGTGAGGTCCTGTGTGCGTGTGCATGTGTGTGGGCATGTGTGTGCTTGTTGGATGCAGCCAATTAACAATTCTCTCTTGTTATTGATGTTTCTATTCCCTCTTCCTCTCTGAAATCAATAATAATAATAAAAAGCTTTAAAAAGAAGAAGAAAAAAGAAAGACAAAGAGATGGGACATGGATACGCAAAGGGACAGCCACTTGAGGACCTGGGGAAGGTGGCCATCCACACGCCCAGGAGAGAGGTCTCGGGGCGCCAGCCCGCAGCACCTGCCCTGGGACTCGGGCTCCAGGACGGGGAGCGTCTCTGGGTGCTGCTCCGCTTTCTGTGGGTGCTGACTAACCCCCACACAGTGTCTTGATTCTGGCCACGGCCAGCCCTGCCCCAGCCCCGGACGCCTGTGTGGCTCCCAGCACCTCCTGGTCTCTGGGCCGCCTTCCTCGCCCTCTGGGCTGGATGCCGGCTGAAAGGGGGGAGGATGCAGAGGGGGGCAGGTTGTGGCGCTGGGAGAGGGTGCCCCCACCCCCGCACACCTCCGCCGGCTGTGGACTCACGAGGCGGCAGCACAAGGAGATCCAGAGAGGCATAGATGTCTAAGGAGCTTTTATTGTCGTTACACACACACACACCACACACACACCAGTGGAGACAATGGACGGGCTCCAGGAAATTAAACATAAAATGAAAAGCGGCCCAAGCTACAAGGTGCGTTTCCTGGGAATAATTTCTCTGCGCGTCCCCTGCATCACAGAGCCCGCGTCTCCCTCCTGCCCGGCGGGACGGATGGCGCTCCCTGGGGATCGGGACGTCTGTCCGTCTGCCGGTCCCCAAGGCAGGCAGCGTTCTGTCCAGTGCTCTCGGCTCTCAGCCCCCCTCCCTGGTGCAGGGGCTACCTGGGAGAGCCAGGGGGCGGGACTCAGGCCTGGGCTCCCACCTTAGTCCTCCAGGCGCGCTGCACCTCCACATCCACCTCCCGTGTCTGTCCACGGAGGCTGGATCCCACCTGCTGGGACCTGGTCACCAGACCCGCCCCTGGAGGCTTGCGGGCCGATGCCCACCTGCCCTGGGTGGTACCATCCTGCCCCCCAGACCCCGTAGCAGCCCCACCAGGCCCTGCTCCGAGGATGTGCTCTGGTGGAGGCGGCTGAGCGACCACCAGGGCCCAGGGGGAGCTTCCCTGGGGGGACTCGGCACCTCCCAGGAGCCCTGTCTCCTGCTCCTGCCCACACACTGGGTGCCGGGCCTCCACCCCGCAGGATGGACTCGCACGCAGCCCAGGCTATGTCCTGGGGTGGGACACGCCGCCTGGAGGCCTTGGTGGCCACACGACCTGGGGCGGCGTCAGTGGCTGCATGGAGGGCAGGCGGGCCTCCGTCAGCTCAGGTTGGAGCAGGACCTGCTGTCCACTCGGTTCTCCAAAGGAGCAGGTCCCAGGTGGGATGCAGCCTGTGATGGCCATGAGGCCAGAGGGCAGGGTGCAGGCCCATAGGGGCCTGGGGTCCGAGGGTGGAGAGGTCAGAGGGCAGCGAGGTCAGAGGGCGGAGGAGCAGGCGTTGCAGCAGGTGGAGCAGGTGAACCGGCAGTTGGCTCTGCTGGGAGGGCCGCTACGCCCCTTGTCCGATCATGTTCCTGTAGTCCGGGGCAATGGTCCTCTTCAGGTCGGCCACGGAGGAGAAGATCCACTTCACCTGGGGGCGGGGGGAGGGCCAGTCAGCCTCTGCAGGCCGGGGCCAGCTGGGCTGGCGGGGGACGGCCTGGGGCGGTGAGGGACAAAATGAGGACATTGAGGGACAGTGAGGGCACTGCAAGGGGCGTGTGGGGTGCATTGGGTGTGGACACGGCATGTGGACACGGCATGGGGTACGTGGGCATGATGTGGGATGCGTGGCGATAGCATGGGCATGATGTGGAGCATGTGGGGCATGTGGCGTGTGGGGTGCGTGGGCAAGTGGGATGGGTGGGGTGTTTGGGGCACGTGGACACAGCGTGGGGTGCATGGCAATAGCTTGGGCATGTGGGGTATGGGGTGTGTGTGGGGCATGTGGACACAGCGTGGAGTGCATGGTAATAGCGTGGGCATGTAGGGTGTGGGGTGTGTGTGGGTGCGTGGGCACATGGGGTGAGTGAGGTGCGAGGGGCACGTGGGCATGGATGCAGCGTGTGAGGCTGTGGGAGCCCACCTTGAAGAGTGTGACAGTGGCGCTGTAGCACACGCTGAGCAGGAAGAGGGTGATGAAGATGGAGATGGTGGTCCACAGCCCGTCCAGCTCCCCGTCCTGGGCCTCGGCACAGCTCTCGTCCAGGAGCAGCTCTGTGTAGGGAGGGGGGTCAGTGCGGGGCCGTGGGGGCTGGCGGCCTGGGGCTGGCACAGGGGCTCCCAGTGAACGGGGGATGGCCAGGTGGGGCCCGGGGTGCCCGGCTCCCCTGCCCTCTGCCTCAGGCCCCGGTCTCAGCCTGGCCGGGCTGCCCCCTCCTCTCTGCTACCCACATGGGCCCTGGGAGACCAGGTAGGCTGTCCCTCCATCCAGCCTGCTCTCATGTCCACCAGCCCCTCTGCCTGCTCCCCTGGGGTCCGAGGGCATAAGGGCCCGGTGTGGGGATGGGCCAGGGCCAGGTCTGCGCTGGGAGTGCAGGACAAGTGGGTGGGCCTGAGGCCGGTGGGTGTGGGAGGACTTCTGTGTGTGGGGGAGGGGTGTGAGGAAGACTTCTGTGTGTGGGGAGGACTTCTGTGTGTGTTGGGGTGTGTGGGGAGGACTTCTGTGTGTGGGGAGGGTGTGGGGAGGACTTCTGTGTGTGGGGAGGGTGTGGGGAGGACTTCTGTGTGTGGGGAGGGTGTGGGGAGGACTTCTGTGTGTGGGGAGGGTGTGGGGAGGACTTCTGCGAGTGTGGGGAGGGTGTGGGGAGGACTTCTGTGTGTGTGGGAGGGTGTGGGGAGGACTTCTATGTGTGGGGAGGACTTCTGTGTGTGGGGGTGTGTGGGGAAGACTGCTGTGTGTGTGGGAGGGTGTGGGGAGGACTTCTGTGTGTGGGGGAGGGTGTGGAGGCCTGGGAAGGGGGAGGGGTGTCAGTGTGGGATGAGCTGCTGAGTGACCCTGAGGCATTCGGGGGGGAGCAGGCTGGTTTCCATGGTGGGGGTTCCCAGGACCTGCTCTGTCCTCTGGTCTGGGCCTGTGCAGGGTCCCTCATGGGAGGGACCTGTAAGGCCTGTCTCTGAGTGCATACATGTGTACACACGTGTGTCTGTATGCACCCATACACATTCACGACTGTGTCTTCGTGTGTGTGTGTGTGTGTGTGTGTGTGTGTGAAGGTGACCACGTGTGCTGGTGCTGGTCCGTGGGAGTGCCTTGCTTTCCACGGGCCTGGCTCAGTGTCCCTGTGGCCTCTGGACAGTCCCTGCCCGGGACCCCAGGGATGCCCCCCTCTGCCTGTTCGGGGCAACCCTGTGAGTGCCCTCATGAGTGGACAGCCTGGCCCTGAGGGAGCATGGGGGGCTTGGTCTCGAGGACACGCAGGGCCTGTCCAACCCCACGGCCCAGTGTGCTCCTGTCCGGGAGCCCTGGGAGCCAGTTCACAGGGCACCCTGGAGCCAGGCCCTGCCCACAGCGGGGCTTGCTCAGAGGCGGGCACCCCTGCCCTCCTGTGCCTCAGGGGCTTCTCCTGCCCCATCCACATCTCCTGACTGAGTCCTCGCTGGCTGGGGGTGGGGGGTGTGGGTGAGGAGTGGCTCTGTGGGGAGGCCGTCCCGCGCTGGTGCCTGCAGGCCCACCAGCTCTGGGTCCCACCCAGTGGTGCCGACCTGCCCTCTGCCCCGGAAAGAACACGACAGTGTCGCTCGCTCGCTCGCAGGGTCCCAGGGCCGTGCTGGGTGCTTTATTGAAGGCTGGTGCCCGGGGGTATGACGGGGGCGCCGGGCGCCGCTCATTTACCCACGCTCCGGGAGACGGTCTTCTGGGTGTAGTGGTTGTGCAGGGCCTCATGCATAACCTCGCACGTGAAGGCGTCCCCCTGCTGCCACCGCGCCTTGTCCACGGAGAGCTTGCTGTACAGGAAGAAGGCGCCCTCCTGGTCCTTCTGGGGCGGGGTCGAGGAGTACTTGGTCTCAGGCTCCGGCCGCCCATTGCTCTGCCACTCCACGCTGATGTCCGGCGGGAAGAAGTCCTTGACCAGGCAGGTCACGCTGACCTTGTCCTTGGCCATCTCGTCCGCGTGAGGGCTCAGGACGTACACCTGCGGCTCCCGGACCTGCCCTGTGGGATGGGGTCAGCACAGACGGTCAGTCCCAGGTGGGGGACTGGCCCTCCCAAGGCCCGGCCCCAGGCCCCCCTGTCTGCTCCCCACCTCTGGCCTTGGAGATGGTCCTCTCGATGGGGGCCGGGATGGCATTGTTGTTGACCTTGCACTTGAACTCCTTGGCCTTCAGCCAGTCCTGGTGCGCGATGGGCAGGGAGTGGACCACACGGTAGGTGCTGTTGAACTGCTGCTGCTGCGCCGTCACCTTCTCCTTCTTCACCTCTTTGTTGTCCATGAACCAGGTGAATTCGACGTCCAGGTCTTCCGGGGCCACGTCCACCACCAGGCACGTGACCTCGGGCGTCCGGGAGATCATGAGGGTGTCCTTGGGTTTCGGGGGGAAGATGAAGACCGAGGGCCCTCCCAGGGTCTCACAGGCTGCGGGAGACACAGTGGCCAGAGGTCAGCCCTGGGCGGGCCTCCCCTGGGCAGGCGCTCCCCGTGGCCGCCTCCTGGGGTGGTGTACTCACCTGGGCATGTGCAGGGGGCTGCTGTGGTGCAGACTTCTCTAATTTCGGACACTGCAGAGAGAGCAGGCTGAGGGTTACCGGGGCCCCGGAGGGCACGGCCCTGGGGGTGGGCTTAGGTCAGGGCCAGAGTTTGGCAGGTCTGAGACCACACCGCCCCTGTGGCTCCAGAGCCTGTGCCCGTCCCGGGCCTGGTGGTGATACCCAGAGGACCCCTCCCCGAGTTTGGGGAGCCCGTCTGCACTCCCCCCACTGCCCTGGCTGGGGCAGCCATCCCTGCTCTGTGGATTGTCTCCGGGGCTGGGTGCTCACCGGCCTTGTCCACCTTGGTGTTGCTGGCCGGGTGGGCCACGTTGCAGGTGAAGGTCTGGCTGGACGAGCTGGAGGGCACGGTCACCATGCTGCTCAGGGAGTAGAGGCCCGCGCGGAGGACGGATGGGAAGGTGTGCACCCCGCTGGTCAGGGCGCCCGAGTTCCAGGTCACAGTCACGGGCTCCGGGAAGTAGCCAGAGACCAGGCAGCCCAGAGACACCGTGGAGCCGGACGTGGTGCCGCATTTGGAGGTCAGCGGGAAGACCGACGGGGCCGTGGTGGAGGCTGTGAGAGAGGGGCCACGTGACTGCCAGGCCTAACCCTACCGAAGCCTGGGCAGGGCCCCGGGGGCCCAGGCCTGGGACGGTGCTGAGCCCCGTGCCCATGGCCCCCGCGCTCCCAGAAGCTGCCCAGCTCGGCTCTGCCACCCAGGGCCTCCCGCCTCTCAGCCATGGGTGCCGGGCTCAGCAGCTCAGCCAGCGCTGCCTGGGATGGAGCCCCCGCCCCAGCCCCTGGTCCTTGCTGAGCCTCGCAGCCCTAACTGGTGGCTCTTGCTCTGCCTGGCTCCCACGGTCCCCGAGCCCACTGACCTGTTGCCCTGTCTGGCCCTGCCCTGGCGAGGAGTCCCTTCCTCAGGCGGCTGGGCCTTTGTCACCCACCCCCCGAGCTCTGCTCCCACCCGCAGCCCACAGCCCCTGCCCTTCTGGGTCAGCGCTGCAGCCACGGCTCTGCCTGGTCCCCACCCCCGCCTGGAGCCCCTCTGTGGGAGGCCCCCCTCCCTGCAGCCCCCTCGCCCAGGCTGTGCCTCTGTGCCCAGCAGTCTCGCATGCTTGTCCCTCACCCTGGTGCTGCCCCCTCGCTGTCCCAGCTCCTGCCTGTCCAGAGCCCTCCGGCCGGGTCCTTCCTCAGTCCACACTCAGCATGGCTTGGAGCCTGGTGCTGACCTTGGCAGCCTTCTGCATGGTGGCAGTGTCCCCGACCCCTGTGTGGCCCCATCAGCTCAGCCTCAGGGCTCTGCCCCGCTGTTCCCCCCCCACCCCCCTGCTCAGCCCCCACCTTGCCCTGGGCTCCTTTAGCTCAGGCTCTGCCTTAGCCCCGAGCTCCGTCCCAGCTCAGCTGGACAAACTGCCTACTGCTCAGGGCTTCCAGCCCAGCGGCTGCCCCCCTCTCAGTGGCCTGGAGGCTCACCCCTCCAGCTGTTCCCCACAAGCCTTCCCTGCCCCCCACTCCCTACCCAGCCTCTTCCTGCACCTTCAGAGGAGCTCAGGCCTCTGTCCTCGTCTCTGCATTTGCCCATCTGAGTCTCATTTCTGCCTGCTCTGTCCCAGCCCCCTGCCCTGGGCCTCAGCCCCCTGCCCTGGGCCTCAGCCCCCTGCCCTGGGCCTCAGACCCCTGCCCTGGGCCTCAGCCCCCTGCCCTGGGCCTCAGCCCTGACCTCGGCCGGGAGCTCGGCTTCCTGCACTCAGGCCATTAAGCTCAGCCCAGGGCTGTGACTTCCCCTGACGGGCAGCCTGCCCCTTTTCACTGAAGCATCTGGCCAACAGTGCCCCCTTTGCCTACTGGCTTGTGATAACTCTCTGCCCACCTGCTCACCTCAGCTCCCCTGGCTCCTGGGCAGCTGGTGCCTTCTCACCTGCCCCATGCTCACCTCCATAGATCTTCCAGCTCCCACCCAGCTCCTGGCCAACTCCTGCCCTCCCACCCACGCCCTGCTCACCTGCATAGCTCTGCCAGTTTCCATCCAGCTCCCACCCAGCTCCTGCTTTCCCACCGCCCCCCTGCTCACCTGCATAGCTCTGCCAGCTCCCACCCAGCTCCTACCCTCCCACCAGCCCCTGCTCCCCTCCATAGCTCTGCCAGTTCCCACCCAGCTCCTGGCCAGCTCTCTGTCCTCCCATGGCCCCCTGCTCCCCTCCATAGCTCTGCCAGCTCCCACCCAGCTCCTGCCCTCACACCAGCCCCCTGCTCACCTGCATAGCTCTGCCAGCTTCCACCCAGCTCCCACCCAGCTCCTGCCTTCCCACTGACCCCCTGCTCACCACCATAGCTCTGCCAGCTCCCACCCTCACACCAGCCCCCTGCTCACCTGCATAGCTCTGCCAGCTTCCACCCAGCTCCCACCCAGCTCCTGCCTTCCCACTGACCCCCTGCTCACCTCCATAGCTCTGCCAGCTCTCACCAAGCTCCTGGCCAGCTCCTGTCCTCCCACCTGCCCCCTGTTCACCTCCATAGCTCTGCCAGATCCCACCCAGCTCCTGCCCTCCCAACAGCACCTGCTCACCTTCATAGCTCTGCCAGCTCCCACCCAGCTCCTACCCTCCCACAGACCCCCAGCTCACCTACATAGCTCTGCCAGCTCTCACCCAGCTTCCACCCAGCTCCCATCCAGCTCCTGCCTTCCCAGTGACCCCCTGCTCACCTCCATAGCTTTGCCAGCTCCCACACAGCTCCTACCCAGCTCCTGCCATCCCACCGACTCCCTGCTTACCTTCATAGCTCTGCCAGCTCTCACCCAGCTCCTACCCTCCCACAGACCCCCTCTTACCTCCATAGCTCTGCCAGCTTCAACCCAGCTTACACCCAGCTTCTGCCCTCCCAACAGCCCCCTGCTTACCTCCATAGCTCTGCCAACTCTCTCCCAGCTACTGCCATCCCTCCGACCCCCTGCTTCCCTCCATAGCTCTGCCAGCTCCTACCCAGCTCCTGGCCAGCTCCTGCCCTCCCACCACCCCCTGCTCACCTCCATAGCTCTGCCAGCTCCCACCCAGCTCCTGGCCAGCTTCTGCCCTCCCACCACCCCCTGCTCACCTCCAAAGCTCTGCCAGCTCTCACCCAGCTCCTGGCCAGCTCCTGCCCTACCACCCCCCCCTGCTCACCTCCAAAGCTCTGCTAGCTCCCACCCAGCTCCTGGCCAGCTCCTGCTCTCCCACCACCCCCTGCTCACCTCCATAGCTCTGCCAGCTCTCACCCAGCTCCTGGCCAGCTCCTGCTCTCCCACTGATCCCCTGCTCACCTCCAAAGCTCTGCCAGCTCTCACCCAGCTCCTGGCCAGCTCCTGCCCTACCACCACCCCCTGCTCACCTCCAAAGCTCTGCCAGCTCCCACCCAGCTCCTGCCCTCCCAACAGCACCTGCTCACCTTCATAGCTCTGCCAGCTCCCACCCAGCTCCTACCCTCCCATAGACCCCCAGCTCACCTACATAGCTCTGCCAGCTCTCACCCAGCTTCACCCAGCTCCCACCCAGCTCCTGCCTTCCCAGTGACCCCCTGCTCACCTCCATAGCTTTGCCAGCTCCCACACAGCTCCTACCCAGCTCCTGCCATCCCACCGACTCCCTGCTTACCTTCATAGCTCTGCCAGCTCTCACCCAGCTCCTACCCTCCCACAGACCCCCTCTTACCTCCATAGCTCTGCCAGCTTCAACCCAGCTTACACCCAGCTCCTGCCCTCCCACCAGCCCCCTGCTTACCTCCATAGCTCTGCCAACACTCTCCCAGCTACTGCCATCACTCCGACCCCCTGCTTCCCTCCATAGCTCTGCCAGCTCCCACCCAGCTCCTGGCCAGCTCCTGCCCTCCCACCACCCCCTGCTCACCTCCAAAGCTCTGCCAGCTCCCACCCAGCTCCTGGCCAGCTCCTGCCCTCCCACCACCGCCTGCTCACCTCCAAAGCTCTGCCAGCTCCCACCCAGCTCCTGGGCAGCTCCTGCCCTCCCACCACCCCCTGCTCACCTCCATAGCTCTGCCAGCTCTCACCCAGCTCCTGGCCAGCTCCTGCTCTCCCACTGACCCCCTGCTCACCTCCAAAGCTCTGCCAGCTCCCACCCAGCTCCTGGCCAGCTCCTGCCCTCCCACTCACCCCCTGCTCACCTCCATAGCTCTGCCAGCTCCCACCCAGCTCCTGGCCAGCTCCTGCCCTCCCACCAGCCCCTGCTCACCTCCATAGCTCTGCCAGATCCCACCCAGCTCCTGGCCAGCTCCTGCCCTCCCACCAGCCCCTGCTCACCTCCATAGCTCTGCCAGATCCCACCCAGCTCCTGCCCTCCCACAGACCCCCAGCTCACCTACATAGCTCTGCCAGCTCCCACCCAGCTCCTGGCCAGCTCCTGCCCTCCCACTGACCCCCTGCTCACCTCCATAGCTCTGCCAGCTCCCACCCAGCTCCTGGCCAGCTCCTGCCCTCCCACTGACCCCCTGCTCACCTCCATAGCTCTGCCAGCTCTCACCCAGCTCCCACCAGCTCATTCCCTCCCACCAGCCCCCTGCTCACCTCCATAGCTCTGCCAGCTCCCACCCAGCTCCAGCCATCTCTCCAAACCCCTGCTCACCTCCATAGCTTTGCCAGCTCCCACCCAGCTCCTGGCCAGCTCCTGCCCTCCCACCACCCCCTGCTCAACTCCAAAGCTCTGCCAGCTCCCACCCAGCTCATGGGCAGCTCCTGGCCTGCCACTGGCCAGCTGTGTCCCCTTCAGCCCCTGCTCACCCTGCCCTCCCCCAGAGAGACCTCTCTTCACTCCCCACCAGGAGTTCCTCTTGACCTTTGCTCTTTCCAGTTGTCTGTGCCTGGCAGCTGCTGGCCCTGGCCCCTGGCCCCTGTCACCTGCCCACCCCCATGGAGCTGCAGCAGAGCCTGTGCTGCCCACACTCTGGGCACAAGAGCCCACATCCACCTCTCCTCCAGGCCCCACCACTGGCTGCCCTCAGCCCCGGCCCCATGGCCTCAGCCACTGGAGAGGCCCTCGGGCCACCCGGGGGTCCTCTTCCTCCGCTGCCCCACACCAGCCACCTCCCTGTGCCCCAGCTCAGACCACTGTGCATTCAGGCGGGATCCTGTCACCGCTGCCCCAGCCCTGCCCTCTGGCCCGGGCAGCCCTGGGCTTCTGGACCCCCCCCCCCCCCCCCCCCCCCCCCCCCCGTCCACTGACTCGCTGCGTTTCTTGCAGGCCCTGGCCCAACTGCTCCTGTCATTCTGTGGGTCCCCGAGGGCCTGGTCTCCCCTCAGCTCCTGGGCCCAGGTCCACTGTCCTCCCTCAGCTCTGCTCTGTAGGGACCCCACTCACCCCGGGCTGAGCTGTGGAGGCAGTGCCCCCGGCCTGCCCGCTCTTGCCCCCCGTGCATGTGGCTCCTGGTAGCTGTGGCTGTGCCCATGTCCTAGGAGTTGGTAGCTGGGCCCCTGAGACGTGACCTCGCCCACCCCGCCCCCTGCCCCTCGCCCTGAGAAGACTAAGAACGGGATTGAAACCGGTGGCAGGGCCGCTTCCCGAAGTTCCCTTTTTTCTGGGTGGTTTCTCTGTCGAGGGGCCTGGGGGAGTCCAGACGCCTCAGAGCGCCCCTCACGTGGTTGTGTGGGTTGGGGTGAGGCGGGCATCCAGGGCCCAGGGGACAGAGTGAGAACCCGCTGTCACGCGCTCTGCCCTCTTGGGGCCAGGCTCTCCCAGAGGCCCCCAGCTTCCCCAGCCTCGTTGGCACCTCGCCCTGCCCAGCCAGCGTGGGTGTGGGCCCAGGCACCCGGTCACAGTCTGCAGCCCAGCCCAGGCTCCCCATCCTCCCTCCTGGGCAGCAACCAGGAACCAGCCGTCCTCGGGGCCCTGCCTCTGCCCTCCTATCCTCTCTGGCTCCATCATAGCCTGATCATTGACCAAAGGATGGTGCTGACCACGGCCAGAGGGACGCGGCCCTCCAGGCTCAGATGTGCAAGGACAGAGTTCGCCGTGGTCACCGCGAACAGCCCTGCACCGCCCTGAGGGCGCGGACCCACCAAAAGGGCCTTGGACCCTCAGTGTCTGCATCTGCGCCGCACACAGCTCGGTCGTCCTGCAAGTCCGAGGTCTGGCCTTGGCTTGGGGGTGCTGGGAGGCACCAGAGCCCTCACACCTGAAGTGCCAGGCGCCAGGAGGCCGGGCTTGTGCCCTTCAGGCTGGAAGAGCATCTGCAGGCCCCGTGCCCAGGTGCCCCGAGCAAACGTCTATCTGTGTGGAGGCTAACAGTGCCCTGGGCCCCTCCGCCTGTCCTGTGTCCGGTCCTCACACCACCTCTCGAGGTTTGGGGTTTCTCACCTCCAAGTCCCAGATCCTGGTCCAGGAGTGCACAGGAGCCTCAGAGAGGGGCTCGGAGGCTCTGCCTGGGGTATAGGCCCGGGACTGGGCAGGCTCCCCGCCTCTTAGCTGCACGGTGCCTGGACCGTGTCTCTGGAGGTCCTGCTTTCAAGGTCTGGTGGTCCTCCTGCGGCCCTCCCCGCAGAGGTGGTCAGCCAGCCTGTGGGCTCTGGGTTCCGGGGCAGGTCACGGGGCAGGAGCAGCCATGGCCATTATGACAAATATCAGGCAGCAGCCTCGGGGTAGGACGTGCCCCCTGGCCCCTCCAAGGGAAAGCTGATGGTCAACCCGGCTCCCTCCGCCCGGCTGCCTCCTGATGGTGCCCAGCCCGCCGTGCCTGGCTGTGCGAGTTGTGGGCGCTGCTTACTGCTGCCCAAGAAGCACTGGGTGGCTCACCCCATCTGGGACTTTGGCGAAACTCCGAGAGTGTCTAGGACCGTGGGTGTTTGCCCGTGGATTCCCACGGGTTTGCCCAGATTTCTGGGAAATCGCGACACCTGTGCTGGTCACTGGTGTGGAGACCGAATGCCTGTCCCCATGATGGGGTGGCAGCAAGAAGACATGGCTCCTGGGTCATTACAGGACATTGGGCACAGGTGCTGCCATTTGGATCGGGGGGGAGGGGTGGCCATGGTGGCTGGTGAGGGCATGACAAAGTGGCCGGAGTCCACACACGGGGCGTCTCAGGACCCTGGCACAGGCCCTTGGCAGGTTTCCAAGGCCCATGTGTTCCAGAAAGATCCTCTCACAAAAGAAAGCCGGCAAAGCTTGTGGCTCAGTGGTTGAGTATTGACCTATGAACCAGGAGGTCACAGTTCAATTTCAGGTTAGGGCACATGTGTGGGGGGCAGGGAAGAGGCAGCCGATCCATGATTCTCTCTCATTTATGTTTCTATCTCTCTCTCCCTCTCCCTTCCTCTCTGAAATCAATACAATATATTAAAAAAAGAGAAAGTGTAGGGAGTGGCTATAGGGTTAAGCTTTTGACTGACCTGTGGGCAAAGCCACAAACAGGTCCCAGCATGGAGGGCACAGCCCTCTTAGAATAATTAAGCTTGACCTAATGACGCCAGGTAGATCTTTCCTGGGTAGCTACTGGGCTGTGGGAGGTGCAGCAAATGCTGCCAAAACAGTTGGAATTCACAAGAACATTATAACTATGGTGACCACTTCCTTGTTTACCTCTGGCTATCAAATAAAGGCTCAGCTTGCTGTCTGGATCCCTCTCTGTGGCCTCAGCCAGGAACAGGAGATCCACCTAGACCCAGCTTATTCTCTCTGTCTGTCTTTTCTTTAATCCTTTGCTACTCTCTCCCCCTCCCCCAGCCCAGGCTCACTGAACCTATGGCTGTGCTGGCACAGCACATGTGGCACCCATTGTGGGGCCCGAGTTTGGGGGAATTGCAGTTGTCAGATGTAAGGACGCTCCAGTGAAGCACATGCAGAGAGCAAAAAGGAAGGTAAGGAGCATAGTTTAGTACTAGCTAGGTTTAAAACAGGGAACATCCAGGATCGTAGGAAAAACAATTTATACATATCTATGCTTAAGGCTATGCTCCAAGCACGGGGCTGTTGTGTCTGGTATCAACAGCTTTTCCATTTGTTGGATTTTGTAAGTAAAACCTGCCCATGGTTTCCTGAGGAAGGAAAAATATAGGGAGCAGTTATAGGATTAAGCCTAGGACTGACCTTCTGGCAAAGTTGCAAACAAGTCCCAGCTTGGAGGGTACAGCCCTCTAAGCACAATTAAGCTTAATCTTCTGACTGCTCCCTAGATCTTTCCTGCGTAGCTAATGGGCTATGGGAGGAGCAGGAAGTGCTGCCAAAACCAGTGAAACTTACAAGAACATTGTAAATTACCTTGTTTGCCCCTGCCTATAAATAAAGCATCAGCTTTGGAGTCTGGATCTGTTCTGTGGACTATGCAAGGCACAGAAGATCCACCTATACCCAGCTTATTCTCTTGGACTGTCTTTTCTTCATCCTTCGCTGGTCCTCCCTCAGGCTTGCCGAACCCTTGGCTGTGCTGGTGAGGTTCAGAAAGGTAAATGTAGAGACAGGGGAGAAGGTAGGCAAGCACCTTAGAGATTGTTATATAACTGAAGGTCCAGGGAGAATTCCTCTCTCTACTTTCAGTGTGTCATCCCTGATCCCTAAAGCCCACTCCTGAAAGAAAATGGATGAATGTGGCAGGGGAACTAAGACAGGTAGGGGAAGGTTACCAGAGGTTTAATATTGTCACAAAGGCTTGTTTCTCACCTGGAGACTACTGATTATGAAACTATTTTATTCGCGGTTGTGCTGACATTGGACCAGCCTACACTCAGGGAGTGGTATGGGCTGCTGCATTGAAGGAAAAGTTACTCTCTGGTCAGCAGAAAACGAAGGGGGCTGCTTTAACTGTGGCAAACTAGGACACTTTGCTGAAGACTGCAATGCCAGAAATGGAAGTTAAAGGGCTACAAGGGAGTGGGAACAAGCAGCTGGACTATGTCTGGGATGCAGGAGAGGAAAGCAGTGGGCACATGAATGCCGCTCCAAGACTGATGTTGATGGTAACACAATGCCCCCTAGGCAGGGAAACTTCAAGCAGGGCCAGCCCTGGCCCACCAGCCAGTAGGGGCCTTATCCTTGACCCCACTGAAGCCTTTCTAGCCAGCTCAGTAAACCTTCATCATGCCACCCTGGAAAGCACAGGATTGGCAAGCTCTCCCTGGGGTGATAGATCAGGATTCAGTCAATAGCAGAAAGAGACAATTCTACTCTTAAAAAGCAATTATAAAAACAAAAAAAGGGGAGTTGGATGTTAGGTATTACATTTTTAAATTGCAATGCAGAGGGTTGTACAGCAGCTGAAAGGCATTGGGCCTCCTGTACAATAACCTCTGCCGGGTTAGCCTGGTGGAAGGATGCACAAACCAGACAAGGGTTTTACCAGATTCAGTAATGATGTGGCGAAGAGGCTGTGTTTTGTATCTTTCCAGAAGGAGCAGCGCAGCCAATCTGGGTGCCAGAGCGTTACATGCATCACCACAATGAACCCAGAGCAGCTCCTTCTCCCTTCGTTCAAAAGACTGAGAGTTACCCTGATGACATCAAAGCGAAAAAGGAAGATGATGAAGGCTATTTAAGGGGTTGAGGTATCAACATGGGGTCAGCTGAAGAAGTTAACAACTGAGGCCCAGCAGATGGTAGAAAAGCAGGAAGTGGAAGCTACTCCCTCAACCATGTTTCTGGCTATGCTAGCACTGGTTAGCTGCCCATCTTCAGTAAAGTCTTGCACAGCCAAGTCCAAGGACTCTGAGTAAATCAGCAAAAGAAACTCATTTAGTAGAAAAATGTTTCTGTAGTTTAATTTCTCTCTTATTGCTGGGTTGCATTGGCATTGTTTTGTTATTGTTTTAATAGCCAGAGCTTTCTCCTTGATGTTTAAGTTTTACTTTCATTATAGTAGTTTAAAAATAAAAGAAGGGTGAGATGTAGGGAGCGGCTATAGGGTTAAGCCTCAGACTGACCAGTTGGCAAAGCCACAAACAAATCCCAGCTTAGAGGGCACAGCCCTCTTAGTATCAATATGCTTGACTTTGACATTCCCTGTAAATATTTCTCTTTTCCCCATCAGCACGGATAGAGACCAGTCTGGTTTCTGAGTAGGGGCTGCTAGGGATTGAGAAAATCAAAGAAAGAGACAGAAACAGATATAGAAGAGAAAAGCTGGGGCCAGGAGGGACCACTGTCCTCTGACAGGGACAGGAACAGGGACCCTGAGCCAATACAGTGTCTTTATTTTATACAGTAAAACCCAGGAAGTTTTACTAAAAGTCAGGACGAAGGAGATTCTATGCATTCTTGGGTGGGCCCAAGTTGTATTCATTCCTGGTTGTTGGATGGATTTAAATAAATCCCCCCCCCCTCCGGCACCTGGGCTGAAGGTCAAGTTGACAACACTCCTGCCTCTGGCAAAGTGTGTTTCCAGAACATGGCTTTGCCAACACCACTGGATTCAGCTGACAATAATTTAATGCCCGTGTGCCTTCTCAGTTGCTCTCTACAGCCCACTACATTCTATCTGGGTAGCTAATGGGATATATGAGGTGCAGCATGTGTTGCCAAAACAAGTGAAACTCTTAAGAACATTGTAACTATGGTGACCACTACCTTGTTTTCCTCTGACTATAAAATAAAGCCTCAGCTTGCTGACTGGATCTGTCTTCCTTCTTTAGGGCCTCATCCAGGCACAGGAGATCCACTGAGCCCCAACTGTATTCTCTTTGTCTTTCTTTAACCCTTTGATGCCCCCTCCCTCAGGTGAAGTTGAGTACCCCTAGAGTTGAATTGTGAGCTGTTGGGTTGGATCTGGGCCTGGCTTTCAGGAACCAGAGAAAAGAGAGGCTTTGAGGATATTCACAGGAACCCCTTCCCGTGGCGTCGTTCCCATTTGGGAATCAATTCTTTTATCATCCTTCTTGGCTGTCTTTGTTTCTGTGACTTCTTTATTTATTTATTTTTGTTAATCCCCATCAGAGGATATTATATTTTGTTTGGGTCATGTAATCTATTTACATTTATTTTTAATTTTTATAATAAGTCTTTATTGTTCAGATTATTACAATTGTTCCCCCCCATAACTCCCTTCTACCCAGTTCCCACCCCACTCTTTGCCCTTACACTCCCCCCCCACCCCACCCACCTGTCGTCATCCATAGGTATGATTTTTGTTCAGTCTATCCTGAATCCCACACACCCCTTTCCCATTGCGAATTGTCAGTCCACTCCCTTTCTATGACCCTGATTCTGTTATATTCACCAGTTTATTCTGTTTATCAGATTTTTTTATTCACTTGATTTTTAGATTTATTTGTTGATAAATGTGTATTTGTTGTTCATAATTTTCATCTATACCATTTTCTTCTTCTTCCTCTTCTTTCTCTTCCTAAAGAATACCTTTCAGCATTTCATATAATACTGGTTTGGCAGTGATGAACTCCTTTAGCTTTTTCTTACCTGTGAAGCTCTTTATCTGACCTTCAATTCTGAATGATAGCTTTGCTGGTAGAGTAAGCTTGGTTATAGGTTCTTGCTATTCATCACTTTGAATATTTCTTTCACTCACTTCTGGCCTGCATTGTTTCTATTGAGAAATCAGCTGACAATCATATGGGTACTCCCTTGTAGGTAACTACCTGTTTTTCTCTTGCTGCTTTTAATATTCTCTCTTTGTCTTTGGCTGTTGGCATTTTAATTATGATGTATCTTGGTGTGGTCCTTTTTGGATTTCTTTTGTTTGTGGTTCTGTGTGCTTCCTGGACTTGTAAGTCTATTTATTTCACCAGCTGGGGAAGTTTTCTATCATTATTTCTTCAAATAGGTTTTCAGCATCTTGTGCTGCCTCTCTTCTTCTGGTGCGCCCATAATTCTGATGTCGGTACACTTGAAGTTGTCCCAGAGGCTCCTTACACTATCTTCATAGTTTTTCATTCTTTTTCTTTTTGTTTTTCCAGTTGGGTGTTTTTTGCTTCTTCATATTTCAAATCTTTGACTTGATTCTTGGGATCCTCTAGTCTACTGTTGGGTCTCTGTATATTATTCTGTATTTCAGTCAGTGTATGCTTAATTTCTAGTTGATCCTTTTTTATATCCTCCAGTGTTTCACTAAATTTATCAGCAGTTTCTAGTAGATTCTTGAAAAACCTTATTACTGTGGTTTTGAACTCTATATCCTCCATTTCTGTCATTTGTGACCTGCTTCTTTGTCTCTGCATTTTGGCTGTTTCCCTGTGTTGATAGAGTGGCTTTGTGTGCTAGATGTCCTTTGGGGCCCAGTGGCTTAGCCTCCTCAGATACCTGAGGTAGACACGCTTGGTGCACCCCTTTGTGGACTATGTGCTCAGTCTTGTTGAAGTTAAGACTTTATTGTTGTTGGTATAACTGGGAGGAATTGACCTCCAGGACAGTTTTCTGTGAGGATCAGCTGTGTGTATGATGGGAGAACTTATGTGCTGGAGACACCCTTATGGGGCAAGACTTGCTTTGTTGCTCACTGAGTCTGCCCCTTGAGTGTGTCCCTTATTGATCTGGGGAGGTTTTTTTTTTTCCTTTAAAAAATATATTTTATTGATTTTTTACAGAGAGGAAGAGAGAAGGATAGAGTGTTAGAAACATTGAGGAGAGAGAATCATTAATCAGCTGCCTTTTTCACACTCCCTATTGGGGATGTGCCCGCAAACAAGGTATACGCCTTTCACCAGAATTGAACCCATGACCTTTCAGTCCGCAGACCGATGTTCTATCTACTGAGCCAAACCGGTTTTGTCAGATCTGGCCAGTTGTAATCTGGATGGTCCCAGTCTGACCACTGGGAACACTGGCTCTTGAATCTCTAAGGAGGTGCTAATTTAACATCTTCCCGAGGCCACCCAGCAGGAGCTAATTTAGCCTCTGCCTGAGGCCACCCTGTAGATTTCTATTCTTTGTTTGGGTTTTAGAGGTGCCCAGATGAGGCCCAGCTGTGAAGCAATGCAAGCTGCCAGGGGACCTTGGGCCTTGTTTTGGATGTTTGTGTCTCTCATAATCAGCTGCAGTTTGTTAGGTAATTTTAGGTTGCAAAGAGCCAGGCCATTCATATGCAAAAGCTTCTACACACAGCTTGGGTGGGGTGGGGGTCTAAGTGTGGAGCAAAAACCCCAACCAGATCCTCATCTCTGCCCTAAGAAGCCTCCCGGTCTCCGTGTCACTCAGTAATCGCTACAGGCACCTCTGAGAGAAAGCTGCCCTTGAGTTCCACCCAAAGCCAGACAGTCCAGTTTCTCCTAGTATGAGTCTGGGTCCCCAGAGTCTCCCTCGGAACTGGAGTTCATAGCAGTCGGGAGCTTTTGTCTCCCTTCTGATTGAAAAAGACAACAGTGCACCCAGTTGTCAGCCCTTTCTGCTCTTGCGCCTCCATACCTCCACTCTTCACTTCTGCACCTCCTCTGAGTCACAGTGTGCTTTTGTCTTCCCTTCTAGTTGTAGAATTTCCACTCAGCCAGCCTCCCTGTGGTTCTGGATGATGTTCTTTTCGTCTTTTTGTTGTAGTTTTAAAGTGGTTGTGTGAGGCAGCAATTTCAAGTGTTTACCTATGCTGCCATCTTGATTTCTCTCCATTTACATTTAGTTTAATTATGCACAGGGAAGGGCCTACTTTGGCCATTTTGTTACTAGTTTTCTGTCTTTCTTGTAGCTAGTTCACTCCTCTTCTTTCTTGCTGTCTTCCTCGGCGTTTCATTGATTTTTGTTGTTGTTGGTGGTGATAGTCTTTGATTCCTTTGTTGTTCAATGTGTGTAAAGTTGTAGTTATGCACCATAGTGCCTGCACCTGAACAACTGTTAAGAGGGTAGATTTTATATTATGTCCTGGAGTGGGGTAGGACCTGGGTGGAGGGGTGATATATGGGGAATAAAAGAAGGACATCTGAAATACTCTCAACAGTAAATATTAAAATAAGAACTTCCTATATAATAAAAGAGTAATATGCAAATTGACCAGCACACCAAGACACAAGATTGCCACCCCCATGTGGTAAAAAATGGCTACCCCTATGTGGACACAAGATGGCTGCCACAAGATGGCCTGCAGGGAAAGGCAGTTGTGGGAAGTTATGGGTGACAAGGCCAGCAGAGGAGGGCAGTTGGGGGAGACCAGGCCAGTAGGGGTGGGCATTTGGGGAAGACCAGGCCAGTAGGGGAGGGAAGTTGAGGGGCACCAGGCCTGCAGGGGAGGACAGTTGGGGGGATGAGGCCTGCAGGGGAGGGCAGTTGTTGATGGTCAGGCCAGCATGGAAGATAGTTAGGGGTGACTGGGCCAGCAGTCTAATTAGCATATTATTCTTTTATTAGTATAGATAATGTATATTTAATATATTTTTAAATTTTTATTTTATTTTTTTCAATACTCACATGATGATATTTTTTCATTGATCTTTAGAGATATACATATATCCTTCCTGCCCTTCTTTATAGAGAGAGAGAGGGGGAGAGAAAGAGAGGGAAACATTGACATGAGAGAGACATCGATTCATTGTCTCCTGCACATGCCCCGACTGGGGCTGAGAATCAAACCAATAACTGAGGTATATGCCCTTGACTGGGAATCGAACCTGAGGCCATTTGGTGTGAGGGCTGATGCTCAAACCACTGAGATAAACCAGCCGCAGCAATAATGTTGTAATTTTGGTTCTTTGTTTATAACAAATGATCATAAACACCAATGGAAAGACACAACAGGTAGGGTTGTGCCCAGCTACATCGCTCAGTGGTCGAGAATCCACCTATGAACCAGGAGGTCACGGTTTGAATCCCGGTTAGGACATGTGCCCAGGTTGTGGGCTCCATCCCCAGTGTGGGGCGTGCAGGAGGCAGCTGATCAGTGATTCTCATCATTGATGTTTCTCTCTCTCTCCCTCTCCCTTCCTCTTTGAAATCAATAC